TATAAGAACATTTTTCCCATTAGTTGGGAGCATGCTCCCTGGAGGTCATCCTCTGCTGCAGGGCCACATCCAGCCCCCAGCACGCCCAGGCAGCGAAGGGCAGGCGGATGCAAGCCCTGGGACAGGAAGAACCTTCAAAACACCATGGGGCTGCTTGGACAAAGCCAGCAGGGAAAGGACGTGCATTCACCAGAGAAAGTCACGGTGTATCCTGCCAGCAGCAGACCCAAGTGCACGCAGCAGAGGGGGGCAAGATGGCCACAGAACCAGACACAGAGAACAGACTCTGGGTACACGTGCTGCTGGCTTTATCCCAAATGCTTCCCGCCCCCTCAAATTGGCTGTGCCATGGGGCAGGGGTCCTGGGGATCTCAACACCCAGCTGCAGAACAGGCCTTCAGGGACTCCATCAGCCTCTGCCACAGCCTTCTGCCCTCAGCCAAGACCCTGCTTTATCTTCTTTGCCTCCCCCTGCCTAAGGCCCGGGGGACCACCTGGCTCTGTGTGGCACCAACCCAGGCCAAGCCCAGCACGGCCCTAACAGGCACCTCTGGAGGCACATGGCACAGACCTCATCCTGCTCCCTCGGCAGTGCAGCAAGGGTCCCTGCTTCAGCCCGGCAGAGATGGCCCTGTGGGCCACAGCACAAGGAGGGGGTAGCGGAGACCCGCGCTGGGGCGCCCTGCAGCAGCCAGGCTCCAGGCAGAGGCACCGAGCGGGCTTCCAGGAGTCTTTGCGCCAGGGAGTCTGCCAGCCAAGGGGCTGATGGCCTTTTACACAAACGGGAGCAAGTGGCGCCATGTCCTGTCCTGCCACCCCCAACCCCAGGGGCTGCCAGACTGCAGGGCAAGCCATCAGGTATGGGCAGGGGAGAAGAGCAGAGGAGGTGCGGGCAGCAGGCAGTGACATTTAGTCAGAAAGCCACAGACATACAGCCCAGCCAGGATCTCAGTTTGATCCGTCACCACAGAATGCTCACCAGTGCCCTGCTCTGGGTCCTCCTGCTGCGAAATACCTACTTCCAACATGCTTACCACTGCTTTGCTCCCTAAGAGATGTGTAACTCGGGGCCCCTGCTGCCCTGGCAGTGCAGCTCCAGGTAGCTGCCTCAGCACCCTGTGCCTTGCAGACATGGTAAAGCTGAGGGCAGCTCGTCACCCCAGAAGGAGGAGACTGTCTTGCAGCCCATGTCACACACCTTCCCTTCTCCCAGCACTCCCAAGATTGTCTCTTCATGTCCTTTTCACTTGCTCTCACCAGTTTCCTTGCTAGCTCATCTCCACTTTTCTTAGTTTATCCTAGGCATACTTTTTTGCTGGCCTCACTGTCCATTTCAAGTATTCCACTGAGGTGACAGACCACACACACTGCTGTGCTTTGGCTGGGACACATATATAGGGAAGGAATAAATTTTCAGAAATGAATGTGTTATTGTGAGGTTGTAGAGCATTTTTCCCTCTCAGTGTTCCTCTTCAACAAGTTAGGCAAGTTCAAGAGCTGGTGGGTACACAATCAGATCAGGCCTGATGATGTATTTGCCACAGAAGCATCATGCTGCCAGCAAAGCAGGTCAAGTTCTGAAGTTAAATAGCAAGGGACTTGGAGAAAGAATGGTCTTATTGTTTCTTCCTTCAACTACAAGCTCCGCACTTTGACACTGACTTGCTCTTCCCACAGGCAGAAAAGTATGAGCTAAGGCAAAACTGGAAAAAGATTATCAACTACCTCACCAAGTTCCTGCACCCTGCGGGTAATAACCCCACCAAACCAAAGCAGACATGCAGCTAAACCCCGCGCTCGCATGCTTGGGCTATTGCTCCTTTGCTGTGAAAAGGCAGTAGGTACTGCTGGTACAACGCAGGTCGCTTAGAAGCTACACGGACATACTCCTCCGCATGCCCGGTCCTCCCACCGCATCCGGCAACAGGACACAGCCCCGGCCGATTTTCTATTTCTGTTCGTGGAATAGGACAGGGTTTGAATCAGAAAAACAAGAGACCATGGCGGGACACAGGGTCAGGGCCCTGAAGGCCTCCATCACAAGCAGGCAGAATTTCAGCTTCACATTTTGTCCCAAATGAAGGCATGTCTGGAATCACCCCTGCACCCAGGCTCCCCTCTTCAGGACAGCTGCCCTGTACCAGCTGCAAAATCTCTACAGTTTGTGACCAAACTGAATGGAAACAGGAACCTAAGTCACGGAATGAGCAAAACTGAGACCTTGTATTGCTTCACAGCACTTCTAACTATGGACACACATTTGTGAAGTGTCCTATTTCAAACCAAAATAGGTTTCCATACACAGATGACCTTGCATTGGGGCAGCAAAATTTAAATGACATTCAGTTCAGTTATTTCCATCTTGGCGCACATATGAACAAGTCCCTGGGGGCTACAGGAAGCCTTGAACCTAGGATTCACTTTGTCAGGGCAGCATGCACTGCAGGACTGAAGTGTTGTGTATTTTATTTCACACCTCCAGAAGCTCAAACTAAGCCTTCACCCCAATATGCTGAGAAAGCCTTACCCGCTAGATCATCTCAGCTAAAAATTACAAGAATGACACTGCCAGCCTGCCACACAACGCGCAGGCCCCACTAAGGTATACATTAGCCTGTTCTCACTCAGTCAAAATAAAACACAAGATGGAGAAACCTAACTTTGAGCCCAACCAGCTGAACACCTGCTGAAGGCCGGCCTGTCTCACGTCAGCTGAAGGACTCTCTGCTCGCGTTACCACCAAGCTGTGAATGCACCAGCTCAGAGAAAGCACAGAGAACACTGAAGCTTGGTGAGTCTTCGAGAACCTCTCCAGAAACCACCGTGACAGCTCACAAGCCTCGGTAATGCAAGAGGCAAGGACATAAAACGCAGGCAGCTCAGTATCACTGCTCTGGCCAGTGCCGGGAAGAGAGCCCACCCGATCACCGCCAGATATGCAGAAACTTGAGAACAGGT